AATTTCCTAGGTTTCTTCAGGACTTGATAGGTCTACGCAATATAATAGAGGCTCCGTAGAGCCAAAGAACAATTTAGGTTTTTACAGGTCTCCACAAAAATCGGTCAGAGGATTGATTAGAACCGGAAAGGTCAGTTTAGATCCAGAAAGATCGTGAAAGATCAGTTTAGGTCCAGAAAGATCGTGAAAGATCTTGGTAGGATTTGTCAGGTCCAAATATCCGACTCGGGATTGATTCAGATAGGGAGAGAGGAATAGTCAATTTCATTGATAACTTTGTTCTTTCATTCAAAAAAGTATATTATTAACTATGTGTGATATTTGAATGCTCGTTTAAACGAATATTATTTTTCATGATAACAATCGTCTTCCGTATTTTTATACGTTCGAGAAAATAAACCACGTATCAAAATGATTAAAAAAACTTGCGAAGTATTAATTCTGTGCATTAATGGGCTATGGCATTGTACTCATTATTTTCTTTATTTGTTTGTTACTTGTCTCTTTAATGTGTGATAGAAGCTCACGCACTCAAAGCCAACGAAATTTGACATTTCAAGGATCTTCCCCACAATATCGATGAACGAAGGCCTTTCGCTAGCATTTTGCCTCCACATTGTTGTAACCAGAACGTGAAGGTCTTGCATACATTCTTCTGGAAATTGCAGTAGGTTCCCTTGCCTTAAGTAGTCCATGACTCCTCCAAGTGGCACGTCACTGTATAGTAGTTCGCCATACGTGAATATTTCCCAAAGCACAATCCCGTAGCTCCAAACATCTGAGGAAGTATTAAATGTTTAATGAAGAAAACATTCCGGTGCCATCCATCTGATCGGTAATGACCTCATTGTAGTCGACCGGTAGTTTCGATCATCATTGTAGTATCTACTCAAGCCGAAATCTGCAATTTTTGCTGTCAAGTTTTCGGCTACCAAACAATTACGAGCTGCCAAGTCACGATGGATAATGCCTTTATTGGAAAGATATGCCATTCCATCGGCGATTTCAACAGATATTCTGAGTAATTGTTGTTGCGTAAGTCTAACATTCTTAGCATTCATCTTTTGCAAAAATGTTTTCAAATCAAAGTTTACCATTAGTTCCAAAATAACTCGAATTGGTCGACTATTAGAAATTACTCCAAGTGATTTGACGATATGGTGACTTTCGAACGTTTTCATCAAATGTACTTTATGTAATAAATCGATTTCATCGTCGAAAGTGGCATTGGGAAGTAAAGTTTTTACCGCACATTTTTCGTTTAACGTAGACCTATTTTTTATAATACCTTCGTACACTACACCAAAGTTTCCACCACCAATTTTGTGTAGCATCTCAATATTTTCGACTTCGAATAGTTTTTTCTCCCAGTCATGATCGGCCCTGCCATATATAGCTGTAACGATTATTGCTGGTAACAAGAATTCCGTTTGGAATTGCTGTATGTTTCCAATAGAATGTAGAACATAGAAATATCCAAAGTAAAATTATGATAAGAATAATTGGCCATATTATATATTGAGTACTGTACGGGTTGGCTTCCCAAAAAAATGATCTGAGAGTGAATTTTAACGTTTGTCCCATTTACCGACAACATTATATGCGGATAATTATTCGTTAACCACATCTCAAAGATCAATTTAATTTTCATCAGCCGATCGTGTATCGGATTGACCGTTAAATGTGTACTTTTGATATTTGATGAATTTTGGAATCCAATGAATGATGTCGGTTACGAACAGTTCTGCAAGTTTTTGATAGAGCTCATTTTGTGACACATTGCGACTTCAACAATGAATTGTTTGCAATTTAGATTTGTCGAGCTATGAAATTGAAGATTACGTAGACTGTGGAATCCTTGGGAAGAACCATCGTGTAATTGAATTGGTGGAAATATTTTTTCTCTTTCCATAGCTTGAACTGGAATACAAACAAAACGGAAAAATTTATTTTCAAAAAGTTCAATCGCATGAGGAATAATGCAATCCATGAGTTTAAAAAAAAATTCTATGTATTGTGACGTAATTTCCAAGGTTCACGGAACCCCTCGGTCCAATACGCAGCCCTCTGGCACTCACGTAGAAACTAAAACAACAAAAAGTTGAGCGCCAGGTCGTTATTACCAGAACGACCACTGGAACGAAAGAAACAAAATCAAACTAGCCCTAAGCTCGAAACGGTCTCCCACTAGCTCCAGACGAAGAGACGTGTATCGGTTCCTGAAAGAGCTTAGACTAGACATGTGACTAGGTGAACAAAACAAATAAATTAAACTCAGAATTACGGGGGAAAAATCACAGTATTTAATAAAATTTAAATGACTCGATACATTTCAAGATTAATTAATTGAAAACCCCCGATTTGGTTGTTTCAACCGATCAACTATCATATGACTCCAAAATTAAATAACTCTATAATCATCAAAATAATAAAAGTTTCTTTTAACAAAAATCAGAAAGTGCACACTTAGTCAAATTCGTCAAAAACAATGTCAGAAGAATCATAAAAAATCAGAATCGAAATATCGTCAATACTCATGTAGATTAAACGACACTGAACAATCGAAACCCAAAAATTAGCCTCCGTGACAAGTAAAGCTAGCTGTCCGAAACGAATACGTAAACTCAAGACATCAGGCCAGCGAAACGAAGCAAGGTCACGAGACACACAGTAACTCACGTTCAATGTCCTTCGAAATTATCCAAGTTAAATACCATCCAACGAGAGTCCAATCGTAACCGAAATTAAATACTTCAAAATCTCCAGGGTTACGAAACCTCAATGGTTCACCGAATGGATGGATCTAACGTACAAAATTCTGAACCAAAACAAAAAAAAATGAAATCAAAATTCTAAAATTCCGAACGAACTAATATTTCTAACGAATGAGAGTTTTTAACGAAAACAACATAACTAAAAGATTTAAAGGAAACTGTTCACTGGGCGGACAAAATCTCGTCACTATCAAACAGAGTCGCTCAAAGGCGTGCGAAACGCCGAACATTTTGACTCGATTTTGCCCTCACAAAATACCAAAATGTTTAATCACCACGCTCACCGATGTCCAGACGAAAATCCCAAAGAACTCCCGGCTGCATGGCCGGTCTCAAAACGTCCCAGTGACTTCCAGAAATTCCAAGGAAACCCGGAGAAATACCCAAGGGACGCCAAAGCCCAACATGGCTTCTGAAATGGCGTCGGACAAAAAAAATTTCGGCAGGCGTGCGAAACACGTGCACGCCGTCACCACCAGAACAGAAGTGATCGCTCGACTATGACAGGTGTCGACGCGATCATCAATTGCGCGGCAATTAATTTCATTGGCCGCTGCAATACGACCCTTACTCTCAATTATGATTGGACCCAAAATCTCACGCCTGCGCGCTACTAACTTTGCGCCTGCGCATGACTAAATTAGTTGAATAAATTACCTATTCCAACTAGACCATAATTCCAATTACAATTTAAATAATGTCATCAAATCATAAATAATCTTTAAGCCCTTCCGGCTACCTCCAATCATTTAATTGATCTTGAATCAATAAATCATAGTATTTCACCGGCCCGTCCAGGCCTCGATGATGTAGCAGTCCCGCTCTAATGTAGACTCGCCACTCGTTCATCTGTTCTGCAACGAAGGTCCTCTCAGCGCCATGCTATCACGGTCAACGTTCGAAGCTTTACGTGACTCGGTAGATACTCCAGGTTCTATCGAATTCAAATGGGAATTGACGTTCATGCCAATCATTCCCCGATGTCCCTCGTAGTCCAACAAGTCCTCCAATCATTGAGCGTGTGATTTCGTACGAAATTCAAATACAAACAAAATAATCAGTCATACAAAATTAACTCTAAAAAAAATGACTCTCGTTGAATGGTAGGTTTGACTTCAAGTCTGGTGGCAACCAATCTAAAACCCCAAAAACCACGCGAAGGTCTAAACACCATGAAATGATTTGTAACGAAAATAACACGTTACAGTATGAAATTTGTAAAAACATCCGAAAGTAAATTGACGTTGTTAATAGCAATAATAATATGATGATGATAATGTCGATATTTTTGTTCCTATTTCAATGCAATGTGATAGAAAGCTCGAAAGAAAGCATGCCAACATGAATATGTCAATGTCTTGAATTGACGTTGGAGGCTATCATACCCTAGGTGGTATGATAGCTGCATTAAATTGGAAAAAAAGAACACAGTTTGTGGGAAAAAGCCTTTCGGCATAAAAAACCCAGATTTATTATGAATACACTAAGTTTGGAGGGTTCACTGCGAATGGCGGTGACACATACGATGATTCACACACACATACATACAACACAATGTATTTGTTCGTTATTTTAGTTGTTTGTGACAATGGTTAGCACGTGTCCACACATATAAATATTAACCTACACTAAAACCTTAATAACGCAGGCGAATTTGGGGGTTGATTGGCGCAATCGTTCGTTGCGTCCTTGGAAGCGTGGCTGTCTGCCATGTGGAGGCACGAAATCGTGTGATTTCGTGCCGTTGGTTAATCGTTCGTTCGATCCTTAATTTTATAGCCACTTGCTAGTAAAATTCGTTTCACTAGTGCACTAGTTCGTTGTTAGTTAGTTTAATTTGTTGAACCCATTGGGTTCGTTTGTTTAAAGTCATGATGACTCGATAAGATTTAAGATTTTGTTAGAGCTCGATACATGTTTCAGTGTCGGTGTTAACTAACTGACGCCATAGCGTCCGTCGGCGTGCGTCCCCCTGTCGAGCGAGAAGGTGCTGCCACCATTTGCCGCCTACCTATAACCGTCAGCGCGGGCACATACCAGCGACAACGGCGCCCGGAACGTGCCGCCGCCGCTTGTCGCCAGCATGTGAACGCGGCAGCAGACCTTCGCAGGTGTTACAATGTAACATACTCCCGGCGAAAGCTGCGAAATGTTATTAGAATATAATGTTATAGAGCAGGTCGAATAAGTTCGCATATTTACAATTCTTGATACGCTAGATTACAACTAAGTTACAGGCAAGAGACATAGGCGAGTGATGTTCTGTTTGTAGATGCCGCCAGCAGTTTTGACTGATGCGACTCGAACGATGCCGTCACTCCCAGGGAAGACTTCTACGATCACTCCCAGTGGCCATCGTGCACAGGTGACGAGATCATCCATGAGGAGGACCACTGAGCCTAGTTTGAGTTCCGCAGTTGAGTCATGCCATTTATGACGAGTTTGCAATTCGTGGAGATATTCTTTGTGCCACTTGTTCCAGAAATCTTGTTTGGCCTTAGTGATGAAATTGTACCTAGACAAACGATTATCTGGAACTGAAATAAACGATTTATCGGGCAGCGCGTTGAATGGTCTACCTATCAATAGGTGAGCTGGAGTTATGGCTAAGGGATCATTGGGATCGGCTGAAAGAGTACACAAAGGTCGCGAATTTAAGATTGCTTCGATCTCGATAAGAAGAGTGTTAAGTTGCTCATAAGTGAGCTTGTGATCCCTTAAAACCCGCTTTCAATGATGTTTGAAACTCTTTATAGCCGCTTCCCAAATCCCTCCAAAATGAGGAGACAGTGGCGGACTGAAGTGCCACTCAATGCGCTTGGACAAAGCATAGTTTCCTACTACCTCTTTGAAATCAGGGGTGGAAATCAGATCGTAAATTTCGCTGAGCTCTCTGTTCGCTCCAACGAAATTTGTACCATTGTCAGAATCGACATATTCAGGAACTCCTCTGCGACTGACAAATCTTTGAAATGCTGATAAAAAACCTTCTGTGGAAAGATCAGTGGCAAGCTCGATATGTACGGCCTTTGAAACCATGCAAACGAACACACAACCGTAGGCCTTGAGGAAGGATCGGTTGCGATCCTTCTTCTCCTTGATGAGAATTGGTCCAAAGAAATCGACACCTGTGCGCGAGAAAGCTGGTGCTTCGTTGACTCTAGCTCTAGGCAAATCAGCCATCTGAGCGTGAACCAACTTTGGTTTCTGGCGGATGCATTCAACACATTGACGGACAAGTGTCCTAATTTGATCCTTGCCGTTTAAAATCCAGAATTTTGTTCGAATGGCGTGAAGAGTACTTTGGATTCCTANAAAATCCAGAATTTTGTTCGAATGGCCTGAAGAGTACTTTGGATTCCTACATGGAGATTTGACTGATGAACCTGTCGAATGATCATATCCGTAACAGGATGTTTACTAGGCAGCAAAATGGGATGTTTTTGATTGTAGGAAAGTTCCGACCTCTTGAGACGTCCCCCCACACGAAGGATTCCCTTGTCATCCACGAATGGATGTAATTGATCAAAGGGAGTTCCCTTCAAATATGAACGGACTGGACCCTCCGAAGACTGTGTCGTCGAAAGCCTTCGGAGTTCGATGGAGAATCGTTCGTGCTGAACCATCAAGACGATGCGATATTCGGCTTCGTGGATTTCCTCCACCGAGAGTAGACGATTCCAAGGAGCTTGTGAACNAGAATCGTTCGTGCTGAACCATCAAGACGATGCGATATTCGGCTTCGTGGATTTCCTCCACCGAGAGTAGACGATTCCGAGGAGCTTGTGAACTCTTCCAACGCAAGATGCGAGCAACAACTCTCACCAATCGTTCGAAGTTCGAGAAACGAGTGTAAATGGATTCAGATGAAATGTTAGTGAGCAGGCAGATGCTCTTTTTTAGTCCAGGCACTTGAGTAACCGAAGGTTCGATCAACTGTGGCCATTGGGATTGGTCGAGAATCAACCATCTAGGACTTGAGGTCCAGAGAGAATTTTTGACGAAATCGGATGGAAGTTGTCCTCGAGACAATGCGTCAGCTGGATTGTCCTCAGATCGGACATGTCTCCAGCTAACTTGATTTCCTAACTCTTGAATGTCTGCAACCCTGTTTGACTCGAAAGTTCTTAAAAGATGAGGGGCTTCCTTGAGCCAGCAAAGAACGATAGTGGAATCAGACCACAAATAAACCTGATCAATGGAGAAGTCCAACTGAGCCTTAGTTTCAAGATATAATCTTTTGAGGATGGTAGCTGCGCAGAGTTCCAATCGAGGAATGGTAAGTCCACTCAAGGGTGCTACTCGCAATTTACTGCAGACTAGTTTGATTGATACATCACCTAGTGGATTGCTAGATTTGATATACAGACACGCCCCATATCCATGAATGGAGGCATCACAAAATCCATGGATTTCGACTCGAGAATGATTAAGGATCAGAATTTGTCGAGGAAATGAGATTTCTTGCAACCTTGGTAGTTGAAGTGCTAATGATGTCCACTTGGTGTGAATGTCTTGAGGAAGAGACTCATCCCAAGTGATCTTAGCCTTCCAGCAGTCTTGAATTAAGACTTTAGCGAATAATGTTACGGGACCTAATAACCCTAATGGATCAAAGATTTTCGACAATTCAGAGAGGAGTTTACGTTTTGTTGCAGCGACGTTAGTATCAACTTGATTCAAAGTGTACCGCAACAGATCATTCTGGGCATCCCATATGATTCCCAAGGTTTTCTGGACTGGATCATTTTTGATCAAACAGTCTAAATCGAAGAATTTTTTATCGAAGGTGTTCAAAGCTGAACGATGATTAGACGACCATTGACGAATGATGAAACCACCGCGTGATAATAAAGCAATCATCTCATCACGGATAGTTAATAGTTCATCCAAAGAATCGGCCCCGGAAATGAAATCATCGACATAAAAGTCACGAAGGAGAAGTTTACTGGCACGTGGAAAATCGTGTGCTTCATCACGGGCAAGTTGCTGAATAGTACGAACTGCTAGAAATGGAGCGGCGGCTGTACCAAAAGTCACAGTGTTGAGTTGAAAAGTTCGAAGATTCCCCTGATAGGGCCATAAAACCTTTTGGAACTGTCGATCATCTGGATGAACCAGGATTTGACGATACATTTTCTCAATGTCCGCCGTGATGACATAGCGATGAGTGCGAAATCGAAGAACTTGTTCAAATATGGTATTTTGGATAGTGGGACCAACCAGGAGGGTGTCATTGAGCGAAATGCCCGTAGAAGTTTTGGCTGAAGCGTCAAACACTACACGAACCTTGGTGGTCTCACTGGAGTCCTTGATGACAGCATGGTGAGGAAGATAATACCCACCTTCAGTTTCATCACAAAGAGTCATATGGCCAAGAGAAATGTACTCCTCCATCACTCTGATGTACTCGGATTTCAGTGGAGGATTCGATGAAAGTTTTCGGTCTAACGAAGAAAAGCGTTTGAGGGGCTGCCTACGAGATTCACCTAGATTCAATTTGGAATCTCTGAATGGAAGTCGAATTATGTATCTTCCACTAACATCACATTTGGTATGTGTAACATAATGTTGTTCGCAAGAAATTTCATCACGAGATCGAACGGGTTCATGATCAAAGTCTTCAACATACCAGAAACGCTCAATTAGTTTGTCCAATTTGACGACATTGCACGGAGTGGTTGTTGAAGAAGTCAACATCTCAGACCCTCCGGCGACGATCCAACCCAAACGAGTTTTCTGTAAGACGATGGCAGAATCTTTATGGCAGAGTTTAATCTGACCAATGGATAAAACCGACAATGTGGTGTTGGATGCTAACAAAAGGTCGATTGACCTTGGTAGATGAAACTGAGGATCAGCGAGTTGAACATTCTTAGGGATGCTGAATTGATTTCGAGGGAACGTGTCATTAGGCACTGCATCGGCAATGTTTGGCACTAGTAAAAAATTCAATCGTTGTTTGAAGCTATTGTAATTTGAATAAAGAACTAATTGAACATAATTCTTCGAAACAGTGCACAGACCGTCAACTGCTCCAATGTTAATAGAACAACTAGTTGTGGATAATTGAAGTGATTTCGCGAATTGTTCTGTGATTAAATTCACTGTGGAACAAGAATCTAATAGTGCACGTGCCATGACAGGATTCCCTCGATTGTCTCGAACCTTGATGACTGCTGTGGTCATCAATTGCGAGTCTGACGGGAAGGCTCCAGTCTTGCATGATGGACGCGCTAGTCATTGTTGACTGCTGCCTGAAGTGGGAGTTGCTGCGTCCTTGGGTTTGGACTGTTGCGATCCCTTCTCGTTGTGCAACAGTGTGTGATGATTGCGACTGCATTTTTTGCAACGCTTGTCGCTCTTGCAAGGAAATTGGTGAACCCAAAGACAATTATGACAGGCCTTCACCTTCCTCACAAGATTCCAACGATCTTGAACCCTAAGTCCGTTGAATGTCGGACATTTGTAAAGGTGATGACACTCCTTGCAGCTCGGACAAACCAAAGAGGTGAGCTGAGAGGGAGAAGAGTCATCTTTGGACGATGTGACGAAAGTGTGGGAAGTAGTCTTAGCAAATTTACTAGAAGACTGAGAAAGATTCTCTCCTGTTCTCTTTTTCGGATTGTAAGTGCGAATAGGTAGGGACACACAATCCCCAGCTTATTGTTTGAAAATAGTGTTTTGGATGAACTCGNTTGTTCTAATTTTTCTACCTGAATGGCAAAAGTGTTCAATCTTTTTTGAAGATGCGCAACGCGTTTCATCTCTTCTTGAGAAAGTTCCATTTTTTCAAGATTAAAATTTCTGAATTTTATTATAAAAAGGCTTCTATTTTAAATTAATAGAACAGGTGATTTTATAGAAATTGATAAAACACTTAAAAAGATGAAATAACTGTTTTATAATAATTCAATTTACTAATTGACTGAGAAAAATCAACTACATTCCGTTAAAATGTATCAACTAATGAATTAAAAACTTAATTAAATTGCGTTAAATTGCACCAAATGTAAACTGTTTGAATAGGAAAGATGTTATCCACAAATAACGAATTCAATTTGGTGCGTGTTAATGCTGTGAGTCCCACAAATGCGTCAGCTGACGCATGCGCGCGAACAGACTTGTTCACTCACACGACGGGAACACAGATGAAAAATATGAACGAATCGGAAAATAACGACCAAATGAACAAAATTGACGAACTGAATGCAAGTAAGATAACTATGGCAGACTTATCTTTGTACTAAGTTACGATGCGGAGATCTACTGGACGTTGATGCTTGCTGGAACGGGAGTGACGGGTGATGGCTGACGATGAGCGTTGTCTGACGTGATGATTCGTCGAGGACTGATTAACTNTTTCTTCTGACTGCTGGAGGAAGACAGCGCTCGACGATACGAACAACGAAATCGTCACCCGATCGAGCCCCAACACCCTCCAGAATATGAAGATGTTGGCGAGTTTTGTCCAGAAGTGTCGATAAGTCGTCAGCGGACGCCTTTGTGAACTGAGGAAGATCGAGAATGGCATTCAGATGTTCTACGGCCACGATGCGTTTGTGGTCATAGAAATCCAGAAGAGTTTTCCAAGCCTTCGGATAATCCTTGTCACTAGGATCAAATTCNACAACACAATGTATTTGTTCGTTATTTTAGTTGTTTGTGACAATGGTTAGCACGTGTCCACACATATAAATATTAACCTACACTAAAACCTTAATAACGCAGGCGAATTTGGGGGTTGATTGGCGCAATCGTTCGTTGCGTCCTTGGAAGCGTGGCTGTCTGCCATGTGGAGGCACGAAATCGTATGATTTCGANGGCATTCAGATGTTCTACGGCCACGATGCGTTTGTGGTCATAGAAATCCAGAAGAGTTTTCCAAGCCTTCGGATAATCCTTGTCACTAGGATCAAATTCGTCGACTTTGGCCAGAGCTTGGCCCGTGAGGGAGTCGAAAAGTTGACTGCACTTCACTGCGTCACTGATGTCCATTCGAGAATGGATAAGAGCAATTAATTTGTTTTTATATGTAGCCCCGTTTTCCCGCTTACCATCGAAAACAGGAATCCGAATTTTAGGGAGTTTTGGTAGGTCTTGCCTTTCGGTAATCGTAATATTGCTGGGATTGAGCGTGGAACTTAGAAGTGGCTCGACTCGTTGCAACTTTGTGACTGCCGTAGCCACCTCGAAATGTCGAGCCTCAATATCCACAAAAGCTTCCATCTGATGATCATCAGGTTGAAGTGAAGTCAACTCTTCGTTGTACTTCAAACAATTCCCATAAAATGTTGACAAACTGCCCAGACGCAATTCAGCATTTGTGGGATCAAAATTTAGGCTTTCCAAGTATTGTTCTAATTTTTCTACCTGAATGGCAAAAGTGTTCAATCTTTTTTGAAGATGCGCAACGCGTTTCATCTCTTCTTGAGAAAGTTCCATTTTTTCAAGATTAAAATTTCTGAATTTTATTATAAAAAGGCTTCTATTTTAAATTAATAGAACAGGTGATTTTATAGAAATTGATAAAACACTTAAAAAGATGAAATAACTGTTTTATAATAATTCAATTTACTAATTGACTGAGAAAAATCAACTACATTCCGTTAAAATGTATCAACTAATGAATTAAAAACTTAATTAAATTGCGTTAAATTGCACCAAATGTAAACTGTTTGAATAGGAAAGATGTTATCCACAAATAACGAATTCAATTTGGTGCGTGTTAATGCTGTGAGTCCCACAAATGCGTCAGCTGACGCATGCGCGCGAACAGACTTGTTCACTCACACGACGGGAACACAGATGAAAAATATGAACGAATCGGAAAATAACGACCAAATGAACAAAATTGACGAACTGAATGCAAGTAAGATAACTATGGCAGACTTATCTTTGTACTAAGTTACGATGCGGAGATCTACTGGACGTTGATGCTTGCTGGAACGGGAGTGACGGGTGATGGCTGACGATGAGCGTTGTCTGACGTGATGATTCGTCGAGGACTGATTAACTGTTTTTATAACGTTTTTCTTTATTTTTACGTATTTGTGCGCACACGTCACTCGCAGTTTAAACCAGGGGTTGTGAGTTCATACCTCACAGGAGGCATCATGAATTGACGTTGGAGGCTATCATACCCTAGGTGGTATGATAGCTGCATTAAATTGTAAAAAAAAAAGAACACAGTTTGTGGGAAAAAGCCTTTCGGCATAAAAAACCCAGATTTATTATGAATACACTAAGTTTGGAGGGTTCACTGCGAATGGCGGTGACACATACGATGATTCACACACGCATACATACAACACAATGTATTTGTTCGTTATTTTAGTTGTTTGTGACAATGGTTAGCACGTGTCCACACATATAAATATTAACCTACACTAAAACCTTAATAACGCAGGCGAATTTGGGGGTTGATTGGCGCAATCGTTCGTTGCGTCCTTGGAAGCGTGGCTGTCTGCCATGTGGAGGCACGAAATCGTATGATTTCGAGCCGTTGGTTAATCGTTCGTTCGATCCTTAATTTTATAGCCACTTGCTAGTAAAATTCGTTTCACTAGTGCACTAGTTCGTTGTTAGTTAGTTTAATTTGTTGAACCCGTTGGGTTCGTTTGTTTAAAGTCGTGATGACTCGATAAGATTTAAGATTTTGTTAGAGCTCGATACACGTTTCAGTGTCGGTGTTAACTAACTGACGCCATGGCGTCCATCGGCGTGCATCCCCCCGTCGAGCGAGAAGGTGCTGCCACCATTTGCCGCCTTCGCAGGTGTTACAACGTAACAATGTATAGTTACTCTTAGGTTAGGCAGTTGTTTTGAAATATTCATGGAGTTATTTCGATATTTTCTCTGCTTTGTCGAATTGATCATAAATTTTTTTAAATGCCATGGTAGGTCAGGCAATTGAGTCGTGTTAAACACCATGTATCTACTGGGAAAAACATCTCCAGGATGAAGGCTTCGAGATTTCTCAATAACGATTGGCCTAGTTGATCCGAGAATAAGTAGATGGATTAACAAAAGCAACACAATAATCACTATAAACGACATAACTAATGTCTAAAGTGCTCAATATTGAATACTGAAATTTGACAATTTTGTCAAATAATCGTTGAAATGCAATCAATTTCAGTGAAGCATGGATATGCTGTTTTAGAGAACAAACAAAGGTGGGATCTTCAGGGCACTTGGACGGCCTATTCTGTACTTTAAAAATTTGCCTGGAGAGGGCTACAAGTATGAGAAACCACATTGAAGTGTTCTCCCTATACAGGGAGTTTCATAAGTACATGTACATCTGAACACCCTAGGATCAGGGGGTGATTCTGAGCAGAAAAGTCCTCTTGCACTTTTTGATCAGACTACCNACACCGCCTAACCTCCTTTAGGCATTAAAGAATTCTAAGAGAATTAGAATTTAGAGAGAAAAAATTTCCGCTTCACCCAGCCGGGAATCGAACCCGGGTCTCCCAGATACGCGCCGGGCACTCTTACCGACTAAGCTACCGGGAACCACAGAAATTCACTCTCAAATTCACCTCAAACACCGCCTAACCTCCTTTAGGCATTAAAGAATTCTAAGAGAATTAGAATTTAGAGAGAATTTTTGCGTCGCCTGAATTGTCTTAAATTTTGCCCTTATTTTTGTATTATACAAGGTGCACTCTTACCGACTAAGCTACCGGGAACCA